CGTCCGCGGTGCCCTTCCGGACAAGTGTCCATGGGACACCGCTTCCCCACCCTTTCCGGCCGGTGTTCGGCCTGGCCATACACACTGGCCAAGTGGGCTCTTAGTCGGCGAGCCCTCCGGAAAACCTCCGGAGTGCCCGCCTTAAGCCCCCTCAACACGACAAGGTGGCCCACACGAGGGGGAAGCGCCGAAACCTGGCTGCTAACAAAGTCTTTCTTATCTAGACACGTGATGCCAGGAAGTTCCACGTTTAAACTCGCATCTACTGCATTGGCATGTAATAGATATCATCGGAGATGCCTTTGATTAGCGTCGACACAGCTGCGCGTATTCTTATTTTCCATGTTATGAATCACGGGGTCAAGCGCCTAAACCTGGCTGCTGACAGTGACTTTCTTATGTGTATAATCGGTCCGGAAGCCTGCCACATCACAGTAGGAGATTTTATACGAGATCGAGAAGAAAAACATTGTGGACAGTGTTATGTAGGATGCTGGTAAATAAGTCCAGTGGAAGATTCTCAATCCTTTCCTTTATTCGCTAGCGCGTACAATATCGGAGAGCACGACAAGGCACGTGTGTATTCCTTCGTGAGCGATACCGGAAGTTCGTTTTTCTCCGCGCGGTAATCGGCGAGGTACCAACCTACGGTCGCCGTCCTACGCTATTCATTGGTCGCGCCTATAGTGGCGTCTACGCTACTCATTGGTCGCGCCTGTAGTGGCGCCGCAACTCTAATACGCGCGGTTATTCGAACGTAATCACACAACACTCTTCCCTCCGTAGAAGGAAGTTATACGCTAGAACGTTTTCGCACTAACAGTAATCTGCCAACCGTGTTGGCGGCCTCCTATTTCGCTCCGGAAGTACCCTTCTTTGTACAGGCTCTGGAGCTCTGGAGCTTCCTCTATTTGAGGTGGTGAACCTTCCGCCGGTTCGGCCGGCAACCGTACTTCTGCATCGCCAACATTTTGTGGTATTGTCTCATTCTCACGCTCCTCCATCACATCGGGTGGATTTACGTCCATCTCTGTTCCCGGTTCTCCCGAGTGGTCCCTATATTCTCCCGAACGGAGAAGTTGATCTACATGCCGCTCCCAAATTCGGCCGTCGTCAAGTCTAACTCGGTAGTGTAGCTTCCCTGTACGATAGATAATTTTGCCGCGTTTCCACTTAAGTGGACCACTGTAATTGCGGCATCGCACCGTTTCCCCCACCGAAAATTCTCGAAACTTCTTATCTACATTAACGCTTGTAACAATTTTTGGTTCCTTTGACAAGTTAACTGTAAAACGTGAACGCATTTGATGTTTGAACATCCGTTCAGCCGGAGCCACCCCTGTGACGCAATGGGGGGTTATTCTATATTGCACAAGAAAGGTACGTAATGCATCGTCTAAACTTAGTCCTCTATTTCTCGGGTCGGTAAGTATCTTGCGTAGGGAACTTTTTACAGTTTGCACAAAACGTTCTGCCTGTCCGTTGGTAGACGGATGGTAAGGTGCTGTAAAAGGTTTGATTCCACAAGTCGTCAGGAATCTTAGGAATTCGGACGATCTAAAGTTACGTCCGTTGTCCATCACCATTGTTTCTGGCAACCCGAAATCTGTAAAAATTTCCCTGCATACTCGAATAGTCGTACTCGCGGTCATATCTTTGACTGGGTACACGAAAGGCCATTTCGAAAAAGCGTCCACAAATACGAACAGGTACGTATTCATAAAAGGTCCCGCGTAATCAACGTGTACTCTTTCGAAAGATGCCTTTGCAGGTTCCCACTCGTGTACCTCCACTTTAGGTGGATCGTTTCGGTATGTATTACAAATACTACAAGTTCTTGCTATTTCTTCAATAGCGCGATCGAGACTAGGCCACCAGTATAAATTTCTCGCCAGTGCCTTCATTTTGACAATACCAAAATGATTCTTATGAAGCTCTTGCAGTAATTGTTCACGCATTGAATTCGGTATAACAATTTTTCCATTACATAAAAGTATGTCCTGTTGGATGCTGAACGCAGCCTGATTAATATTGAAACGTAATTTTGCAGGAATATTTTGTTTATTTCGTAACGCATTTAATATTTCTCGTAATTGTGTATCCTCGCTAGTAGCGCGTGCTAATCTGTCTACCGAGATTGGCATATTCTGTAATATTTCCAACTCGTAGATATCCACTACATCGTACTTTGCAGTAGATTCGCAACCGATAGGCAAGCGTGATAGACAGTCGGCGTTACCATTAAGTTCAGAATTCTTGTATTTAATCTCGAAATTGTATCCTTGAAGGAAAACTGCATAATGTTGCATTCTTAATGCTGTATACGTAGGTAAGGCCTTGGAAGGTGAAAAAATTTGTACTAAAGGCCGATGGTCACTGTAGAGAGTAAACTTACTCCCGTATAAATATTGATGAAACTTTCGGATTCCAAATATTATCGCATAAGCTTCTCTGTCTATTTGCGCGTACTTTTTCTGCGTATCCGTTAAAGTTTGTGACGCATACTGTATAACACGCTCCGTGCCATCGGAATAACGATGTGATAGGACTGCCCCGACACCGTAAGGGCTTGCGTCCGTAGCCAGAATGAGCGGTAACTTCGTATCGAAATGTACTAATACTGTGTCGCTTTTAAACTGACGTTTAGCCTCTTGGAAGGCTTGTTCGCAATCACGCGACCATTTGTACGGAATGTCCTTCTGTAAAAGAGTATGTAACGGTGTAAGAATTGTACTTAAATTATTTATGAAACGGCCATAATAGTTAACCATTCCTAAAAAGGAACGTAACTCTGTTACATTTTTGGGTCGTGGCATCTGGTCAATTGCCTGCATTTTTCCAACCGTTTTATGTATACCTTCTTTATCAACTCTGTATCCGCAATATTCTATACTATCTTTGAAAAATTCACTTTTCTCTTCGTTGATGCGTATATTAGCATTAGCTAGACGTTGCAACACCTGCTTGAGACGGTTGAGATGAATTTCATTATTAGGACCGGTAATCCTAATATCGTCCAAGAGAATGGAAATACCGTCAATTCCCTGTAATATGTTCTCTATCTCGCGCTGCCAAATTGCAGGCGCGGATGCAATACCGTACACGAGCCTAGTGCTCCTAAAAAGACCTTTATGTGTATTCAATGTTATTAACTCGCGGTCTTCTTCACGAACTTCCATCTGTAAGTAAGCTTGTTTTAAGTCTATTTTTGTAAATTTATCTCCTCCTGCCATTCATGCGAATAACTCATCAGTGGTAGGGAGAGGATGTTCATCCACCAATAGGTTAGGATTAATCGTTAGCTCTCGAGATAACCTACAAGAATATGTAACGAGAAATAGTAGGTTCCATTTAAGAAATTGAAGGTAACCTTCATGTGACCTTCAAATTACTCTTCAAGGTCAAACCTATGGTACCATCTTATGTCCCCCTCGAAACCATACAACTTTTGTCTGAAACATTTTTTCATATCTCTTTTAGTTTTTTAAAAAATCGACTGTATAAATTAAAATGGCCCACCCTGTATATATTTTTCATGATTTGGCAACATTTTTTATTTTATTATAGAAAATAAACATATATATCACACTGTTACATTTATCATTACAGAAAAATAATTCTAAACTAATTTAAACCTAAACTAATTTAAATTTAAAAATCTAAACTTTATCATTGTAGAAAAAAATAAATTTCTTTGCATTAAATTCTAAACTAATTTAAACCTAAACTAATTTAAATTTCTTTGCATTAAATTCTGAACTAATTTAAACCTAAACTAATTTAAATTTAAATAAACTAAACTAATTTAAACTAAATAAACTAAATAAACTAATTTAAATTTAAAAAATCTAAACTAACTTAAATTCTAAACATTAAAATAGCGATCCGATTTTGGTGTCTCGATTCTTCCCATGGTACAAAAATGTGTCAGCAATGTTATCATGCGCGACCGATTAGGGGATAAACTCCTATGTCGAAAAAAATCGGTATCGTGCATTGACCTCGCGATTATACAATGTGTCGTGGGATGAAAAAATTTGCTGCATTCGATGTAACATAGAACTACTGCACGCCAAAAGAGCAGTATGCTGCAGAGAATGCATCGAGACGTATTTGGATTTCCGTTTCCTTCTGCGGCGGAGAACGACGATGTTAATTTTCTGAAAAGAAAAAAAATATATGCACACACACATATATATATTTTACATATTATAAAATTATACCTTTTTAGTTTCTTCTTGTAATCTCCGATTCATAATTCATCCGCACGCGGTCTCGCGCTCGGAGATCTTCCTCCTTATCTAAATACGTCTCGATGCATTGGCTGCAGCTTACCGCCCTTTTGGCATACAGTAGTTCAG